ATTCCCACTCAACCCGGAAACCAAATGAACGCATGCGTGTGGCTCGAGCCTTTCCCTCTCTGAAAGCAAACAAACGGTTTCCCTGCCCTGTAGGCGACGGCCCACCGAACCTCACTTCCTGTCACGTGAAGACTACTTCGCCCAATGAGGTTTGGTAGAAGGCGGAGGCGAGGGTGCCGTTTCATCGCCATGGCAACCATCGTCCTGTAAATCAACCATCCTGCTCGTCTTCACTGAGGAGCGGGAGCTCGTCATGGTGAGCCGCTGAGTTGCCTCGGGTCGCTCCTTTTCAGTCCCGCTTATCGTCGCAAGTTTCCCGCGGGAAGGAGAGAGTGGAGGTGGACGTGTTCCGGCAGCAGCAGGCCGGAGAGTGCCCTGGGCTTAGCGGCGGTCCCCCCCTCCGGCCGTTGGAAACCGTTACGGGGCCTCCGCGCGCTGACCTTGGGCTTCTTCACCCGTCTCGACGACCCCCCCCGGTCACGCCCCTTCCAATGTAGAGCGGTGCCCCCAAATGTCGCCCTTCGTGCCTTGCAGCCCGCTGTCCGTTGATGGGTAGTGCAGAATGTGGCCGTAACGGTCAACCGGGCTGTTCTGCCGCCCGCTAGCTCACCGCCAGGCTTGCCCGTGGTACAAAACTCAGTAGCCGCAGAGCATCTGCCTCAAAACCCCGGGTTGTCGTCTGTCGTTGAGAGAGTGATGTGGGGAAATGATCCCCTTGCTGAAAGAGAGCAACTGCTGGTCAGAGTGAGACATGCTGACCTCGACAGACCAGTGGTCTGACGCTGCATGCGGCAGCTTCGTATAGTTTTCATATACATGGCCAAAATACTCCCACTGTTGTGTCTCAGAGCCAGCTCGGAGAGGCATGTCGGTTTTGCACCTGCCCATAAACAACGTTGAATGTAAGATCTGTGGGTCACACATGGCAGGAGAGTGAGGACGTCGAATGAACCTCCTCCCCTGCTACGGTTGGAGGGTTACGGTTTGGAATGCCCCTCCTGTGTGGAAAGCTCCCTGCGGATAGAAAAGCGGCACAGCATGTTCTTCTCCTGTTCTTCTTTTCTGTGTGCAGGAAGGGGTGTTTGTTTTAATGCAAAGGAGCATTGAAAGCTGGACTCCACTGTCGCGGTTGAGGTGTAGTAGTTTGACCTGCCACATCATAGCATTGCTACTTCATTCCCTTGCATGTACAAACCAGACCTAAGTCCTGCTCGGTTCACTGAGCTCAAGTAAGAGCACAAGTCAGTGCAGCCTGTAAGGCTCTGTAGAAGGAGCGAAATGTTAAGTGTGGAGAACTGGGACAGAATGACTGAAGATGAATCACTGTAATTTTTTTTAACTTTTGTTGCTTTATCCTTGTTTCTTTCTGAGATGCACATTGCTATTACTTGAACAACAATGAGGCTTAATCAATAAAGATTTTTTGCTAGGTTACTGTAATGAAGAGTGAAATAAAAACATTAAAGGTGGTCTTGTTTTTAACACTGTGATAGCTTTTATTTGTTGTATTGTAAATTGTACCTCCTTTAGCATCCCCAAAAAGAACCAACACAAAGGCTTAAATAGCATATGTAAATATATTTAAATTTTATTATTGATTTATAGTAAATGAAACTAAAATGTGTTTTTGTTGTTTTCAGGTAGAAGACCATGCATTTAAACAGATAGTTGATTTGCCAGTGTAGCTTATTCTTCTTTAGCTGAGAAAACTTTAATTGTTTTTGTTAAATTAATGTGAGCATCTTATAAATCAGCAGAAGGAGCCAACTTAAAAACACTACTTTTGTGTGCTCTTTTCTTTTCATAGGCAGAGCTAGGTCTCAACGAACACCACCAGAATGAAGTGATTAACTACATGCGATTTGCACGCTCTAAGCGTGGCCTGCGTCTCAAGACAGTGGACTCTTGTTTTCAGGACCTTAAGGATAGCAGGTACTTTAAGGATGGAGCAATATGAAAAATAACTCAAAGAAACCTTTAGCCCCCTAAAAAAGCTGCCACCCCACAGGTTAGGGGCTTCTCTGGAAAAGCAATAAATGAGGGAAAAGGGCTTACTATGAAATGTAAAAATTAGCCAGTGTGCTTTGCATGTGCTGCTCTCAACCGTTGTGCTTAAGCATTTTACTCAGAAGAGCAAATCTAGCAAAAGGCCAACTGCCAATTATTTTGCCACAATTTTAAAAAAAATCATATGCTTCTTAAGGCCTCTTCTGATATTTTTAATTGCTGGTATGGTTCTTTCAATAGTTCTATGTCATTTTTTATTATTTTTTTCTGCTCAGGCTTGTGGAAGAGACATTCACAATAGATGAAGTGTCAGATATGCTGGATGGCTTGCAGACTGTGGTACACAGTGAAGTAGAGTCAGAACTTATTAATACAGCATACACAAATGTGTTACTCCTGCGTCAGATCTTTTCCCAAGCTGAGAAGTGGTATCTTAAACTGCAGACTGACATTTCTGAGCTGGAAAATAGGTAACTATATTAACCATGGAGAAAACATTGTATTGGCTCAGAAGGCTCTACTGATACATTTTAACATGTGAAGTGTGGATGTTGTTCCAGGACTTTTTAAAGTATCACTTTAATATCTGAAGTAACTTTTAATGTAAAATAATGCTGTGTCTTTTTTAGGGAAATTTGTCCATGTGAGAGTTGGTCTAGACATAATTTGTGGTTTTTTCCATGTATGGGTTAATTCTTCCATTTCCTAATTATTTGCTGTGAAGAATACAATGTAGGAATTGTATCTAATATTTAACTGAAACTTTTTTTAATTTTTCCAAGGAACTTGTTAGAGCAACTTGCAGAGTTTGAAAGGGCAGAATTTGTATCTTCAAATAAGAAGGTAGGTATCTGTTTCTGTCATTATGGCCAAATAGACTGTGAGTTTTTATAGCTCTGAGTTTGAGGAAAGTAACAAACCAGAAAGTAATTGCTTAGAGCAGGGATTCTCAGTTCTCAATCAAGCCATCATTTCATGCCTTTGCATATATAATAACCATCACATCTCCACAGATCCTCTGATCAATCCCTAAAGCAAGAGATCCTCCTCAGAAAAACATTGGCATGTATCTCCCTGCCCCCCATTTTGGATGTGGAAGTATGTTTTATGATGTGCTGATTTTTGTAAAAGGCAGAAACAGTGTGAGTGAGACACACTTACTTGTTCTTTCTGTTTCAAAGCCCTGACACCCCTGTGAGGATTACCATTGATCCAGCCTGCATTGTAGAGATAAAGAAAGAATGGCCTGGGGAGATGGGGAGAAAGTAAAATGAGATAAGCAATGGAGGTCCAGTGGTTGGCAGAAAGAACAGTTTCCATTGTGAGGCTGGACAAGGAGGCAATTTGGAATTCTATTGCTGTGCTATCAGCAACTCAAACTGTGACACTTTAGAAAAAAACAGATAAATGGGAGGCAGTCTTCTGAGACCCAGGATTCTTGTGGGCTGTCAGAGAAAAGAAAGGGCACATGTGAGTTAGACACTGCTGTTAAAGGGGCTGAGATCAGCAGGCCTAGAAATATAGTCCCTAGCTCCCTCCTTGTCCAGGACTAAGACTGGGAAGAAGAAGGAAGAGGCTGGGTACTCTAGCTGAGGCTTCGGTGTGGAGAGTAACCCCTCTACAACCCCTGTACCAGAAACCATCTCATTCTCTGAGTTCTCTGCTGTATGCAAAGGGTTTGGGGGAAGGGAGATGCCTGGCAAACACAAATTATGGCTTGGTAGTAAGTAGAGCCAACATTTGGGGGCCACAAACAACCACCGATGATTTGTCTAGCGGCTTTTTTCAGTTACTTTTAACCTGAACAACAAGTACATCTCAAGGGTAGAGTCTTAAGGATGGGAGAGAGAAAGGGTAGAATAGACATATATGCAAAACCCTTGCAAAAACAGAGGTCTGTTTTCCTTCGTGTTGGTAAATCACTCACATGAACTATATGTATTGTGCCATGTGTTACATTTCATGAGTCATTAAAATATCCTGAAATTTGTTTTTTTGTATACTAGTTAGAAATTAGCAGTTTTCCTGCTAGAATTTAGGAAAGCACAAGGAATACTTGATATTGTGTTGTCAGGAAGAATTTCTTTTTAATCAGTTACATTTCTGTGACTATTGTAGGCCAATCCTGAGCAGGTTAAACCTAAACTTACTCCACTGCATGAAGGAGCATCAGACTTGCTACAGAAGGTAAGACTTGTTTCTTGTTTTATGTATATAGTTACTTATGTATGTATTCAACTGAGCCTGTCATACACATTATTTCTACCTCTTTTTAGAAGTTACCATAATCCAGTAAGATTATATAAACAAAGAACAAATTGTTTTGGAAAACACTTATCTGTATTAAAAGTATTGTAAACAGAGCTCTGCTCTTAGAATGGAATCACACACTCTCCACCTCTAGAACATCACTTTGCACAGTGTGGGACTCTGCAGTGAAAGAGGGAAACAGGTGAAGATACCACCACCATCTGCAGAAGTGTTCTTTTTGCCAGCTGATAATGACTTTTAATCCAACCCAATGGGTGCGTTCAGACGGGGACTTTATACCAGTTAGGGTGCCGGTTCCAA